GGGGACATGATAGCAATGTTCCAATATCTCAGGGACTGCCACAAAGAAGAGGGAGTCAAGCTATTTTCCAAAGCGCCAGAAGGCAGGACAAAAAGCAATGGGTGGAAACTAATCAAGGAGAGAAGCAACCTGACAGTTAGAACAATTAACTTCCTGACAGTTAGAACAATTAACCAGTGGTACAGTCTGTCTCCAGAAGCGGTGAATGCTCCAACACTGGAAGTTTTTAAGAAGAGACTGGACAGCCATTTGTCCGAAATGGTATATGGTTTCCTGCCTGAGCAGGGGGTTGGACTAGATGACCTCCAAGGTCCCTTCCAACTGTATTATTATTATTATGGATCATCGCACAATCAGCCAGATGTTCAGACTGGATTTGGCATTTTGTCTACCTATCGAGTCCTTACCCAGGACCTGGGATAGGCAAATGTGGATGTTTGATGGTATTACAGATATCATCGCAGGATGGAAGCAGCTCCTAGTAAGGCTGCCTTTTGCAATAGACTAATAGCGAATTTGTCAATGCCAATGATGTTCAAGTGGTGCTCCAGTTGTTTTGGGATTGCACCCAGGGAGCCTATTACTACTACTATTATTATTATTATTGATCATCGCACAGTCAGCCAGATGTTCAGACTGGATTTGGCATTTTGTCTACCTATCGAGTCCTTACCCAGGACCTGGGATAGGCAGATGTGGATGTTTGATGGTATTACAGATATCGTCGCAGGATGGAAGCAGTTCCTAATAAGGCCACCTTTTGCAATTGACTAATAGCAAATTTGTCAATGCCAATGGTGTTCAAGTGGTTATTATTATTATTATTATTATACTATTACTGCTGTTACTACTCTACTACTACTACTACTACTACTACTACTATTACTAAGAATACACATATGGTTAGAGAAAATTACTAAAAAACATATAGATTTTAAGCCAGAATTATTTTTGTTAAGCATAATTGTAGGAAAATATGAGAGTGTATATATCTAATATTACATGTATTAACTGCAGCGAGAATTGTATTCGCTCAACATTGGAAAAATGAAGATTTACCAACGGAGGAAGAGTTAATTAAAAAATTTTAGATTGTGGAGAAATGGATAGATTGAAATTGAAAATGAAAGAGAAAGAAGATTCAGTATATTTTAGAACATGGGATACCTTTTATCAATGGCTAGAAAAACAAGGTAGGGAGAAAGGAACTTACCATGTTTTAGTAAGTTAAATGTTGGAACCCAGACTATCTATATTTTTGGATCCTGAGTTTGTCTTCTGAGGTGTTGGCTACTCCTGTCAGTTTGGTGTCATCTGCAAATTTAATGAGTTCCCTTTCAATTCCCTCAACTAAGTCATTTATGAAGATATTGAAGAGTACTGGGCCTAAGATGGAACCTTGTGGTACCCCACTGCTTACTTCTCTCCATGGGGATGTAGCGCCATTGAGGACTACTTGTTGAGTACAGTTTGTCAGCCAGATACAGATCCATCTGGTGGTGATGTTGTTTATTCCACCTTTTCCTAGCTTACCAAGGAGTAGGTTGTGGTCTACTTTGTCAAATGCCTTACAGAAATCTAAGTATACTATGTCCACTGCATCTTTTCTAGGATCTTCCCAGGTATTGATGTTAAACTGATTGTCTGTAGTTTCCTGGGTGTTTTTTTCCCCCTTTCTTGAACATGGGGACCACATCAGTCCTTTTCCAATTCTCAGGTACTTCCCCGGTGCTCCAGGATTTATGAAAGATGTGGTGCAACGGGTCTGAGATAACATCTGCCTGCTTTTTCAGAACTCTGGGATATAGTCTATTGGATCCTGGTAGTTTATATTCATCAAGGTTGGATAGGTGTTCCCTTACTATTTTCTTGCTTATTTTAATTTTTGTTTCTAGTATGTCTTTTGCAGTGGTTTTTTGGTGTATTGAGCTAGTTTCTTTTTATGTGAAGACTGACACAAAATATGAGCTGAGCAGCTTTGCTTTTTCCCTGTTGCCTGTAATTTCCTTGTCATCTTCTCTCTTTAGTGGGACTACAGTTTCCTTGACTACAGGTTGCTGGTCTTGTTTCTGAGGCAGAAGATAGTATAGCTATATAATTTTGGTCTGCTTCACAAACTGAAGAAAAGCAGCTATTAGCAAGATAGGAACAATGTCCTATCATGTCCTCCTCATTACTCTTCAGTATTTCTTCTCTACAATCCACTCTCTTCACCTATTCATAGATATTGCAAGGAGGGCAAGTGACATATTAGACATGATAGCAGTTTTCCAATATTTGAGGGGCTGTCACAGAGGAGGGGGTCAACCTATTTTCCAAAGCACCTGAAGGCCAGACAAGGAATAATGGATGGAAACTGATCAAGGAGATTCAACCTGGAAATAAGGAGAAATTTCCTGACAGTGAGAACAATCAATCAATGGAACAGACTGTCTTCAGATGTTGGTGCTTCATCGCTGGAGGCTTTCAAGAAGAGACTGGACTGCCACCTGTCAGAAATGATATAGGAACTCCTGCTTGGGCAGGGAGTTGGACTAGATGACTAGATTATCATGAGCCAACACCACACTGGAAGTCAGCATGCCCCAACACTTGTTGTGGATGGCTTGTCTAAGTTTTTGTAATGTTTCACAGTAGACTTCTGAATTGATCATCGAACCATGGTCCATGAACTTCACTAGCAGTACTCCTTTGGCATCTTCACATTTGGCGGGATTTGCTATGGTACCACTTCCGGTGTGGTATTGGTTCATGATAATGCTTGCCCACACACCACTAGACGCACCCAAGAACTTTTGAAGTTATTCCATTGGGATGCTTTTGATCACACACCCCCCATAGCCCAGATTTGGCGGCGAGCGACTACTACTAAGGAATTTCAAACCTTGTAAGACATTATGACAAGTGCCTCAATTTGAATGACAATTATGTCAAAAAGTAATATAATGTTGTAGTTTTCTAATGTGTATAATAAAAGTTCTGTACCTGCGAGTGTCTGTTATTGATAACCAAATGGAGGTTTATTTCCGAATTGCCCTCGTATTAAATTACTGAATCTCATTTCAGTGACCCTATAAAGGTGGTCAATATTATTGTATTTCAGGTTAGAGTCTGAGTTAGAAATCAATGTGTTTAAAAAACAATCTAAACTTCACAATTTATAAACAAATCCAAACAAAAATACTTTTAAAGCATAAAATGATAAAATAAAATCTTTCTCACATGGCAGTGGTTTTAAAGATATGACAAAGCAAGTTATGAAGTAGAAGGAAATCAAATGCTGACATTTTTATGAAGGATACAGAAACAAATATAAATCCAGAAAAGATCCATGCTATTCAAAAGCTCTTCTCTTCTTCCAATTGGCACATGGTAACTTCATATCCTCAAACACAATTGCAGCCTTCACACCTCTCACCTACTGTCCAGAATGAGAACTAGTATATTAATATTTATGGGTATAATTTGCTGATGGAGGAGCTATGCAATTTAACGCAGGTGCAGTCCATACCTAATAATTCAAAGACTATCAGAAAAATAGCAAGAGTGAATGCAAAAATTGCATGGAAATTAGTTTGTAAAGCATGTTTGGGAAAATATTTGCAAGCATTCAGACTGAAATTGTGTGAAAAGTAACAGTGAAAATCTAGAAAATGTGCACCTTTATATGGGAAGGAGATATGTAAACCAGATTGTTGCTCTTCAACAGACAAATGAAAAATGAATGTAGAATAGAATTCACTTTATTAGTGTTGATTAAAGAAAGTGAATGTGTTAGAATGATGATTCTTTTTGTCACTGTGTGGTTAAGAATCAGTTGCTGAATGCAGCAAGAGCAGTATGCGATAGAAGTAAACCATGCATAGGACTAAGTATGCTTAGTTTAACATTGAGCATGAAATAAGAAAAGATGAGCCAGTGGTTGTTTATTAACAGGTAAATCCCAAGGAGACAAAATCCTGTAACAGTTAAAGGAACTAGCTTGAGAAGATTAAGTGGAAACATGATACCAGTCTTCAAATATTGAAGAATTATCGCAGAAAAGATGTAGTTTTTTTTCTCCATAGGTCAAGAATCAAGAGTGGAAGCAGAGGGAGATCCACACTTGAAACAGAGGCATTTCCTATCAGAGCCATTAAACAATTATAATTTTGGGTGTTCTATCACTGAAGATTTTTTAAACACATTTTCAGGATAACCATTAGTTTAAAGTGCTAGGATAATTCCTACTCTTGGCAGAAATTGGTCTTAAGCTCTCCAATTTGTCTTCCAGTCCTATGATTCTATGAAATTCTTGTAGTTATTCATGCTATTGGATAGGGATAGAAATGTTATTGTATCTTTGTATGCAGATAATGTATTGTTGGCTGAGAACTTAAATGATTTTGCATCCAAGGTTTATATGATACAAGAAGCATGGTCCTGAAAATTAATGCATCAAAGATGATGGAAATCACACACACACCATGTATATTTGTGGATAAGCTGAGAATTGTAGGTGTCCAAATGCATCTAAAAATTGGGTTCAGCTTCTCCATACATTGGCTTAACCATGTATATAAAAATATTTTTAAAGTACCCATATTTTCCCTTTATACTCACATAAACAGTGGCCTTCCCTATTGGAAAATACTATTTCAAGGTTTGTGTATATTTGTGGATTTATGAAGAACTCATTAAGACAGGCCATTATTCCTATTTCATACATCACAAATATAAGCTGCCTAAGGGCTTCCCAGTAATAGTGCGAGATAATTCAATGTTGTTCATTGAAAGTCATCAAAACACAATTAAATAACATTTCCTAATTCCCATAGTCAACATGCATCTGTTATCACATCATGTTCCAGCTTTCTCCTGTTTCAGTCATAGTTTTAGAAAACACTAAGGAAGTTGAAAAGTTGAAGATGTTCAGCTCTGTTGAAGAAACTACATTTCCACCTGTAACAGCCCAGTGTTTCTCATTACATAGTCTGAAATGATGGTACCATAGTACAACATTGAAATACCTTTTCTTTTTATTCAAAAATGAATTTTTGCATGCCAACCTACTCAACAGTGACGTACAAAGCAGTAGATATTAAATAAGCTGAACAGAACAGTTGATTCCCGAACAGTTTGCATAGGAAATAGATAAACACCAAAACAATTAAATACAATGAGACAGGCACTAGCACTTTCTTTCTTAGAGCAAACAGACTGAATTTAACCAACAATAGTTGTTTTCAGGAGAAATGTGTGGTCTAGTGAGAAGTGCAAGGTTGTATATAGTATTCATCTGCAAATGGAGTCATTGTTCTGGCATGCTGGTATGATGATTCCCATGTTTTAATGAAGTTATAACTTCTGGCTTGAAATGGCCTCTAAATATTTAATTGCAAACAGAGCAAAAGTTCTATGATGGATTACTGTTAAATCCAAGGCCCAGAACAAACTTTGAAAGATGAGAAATCTAATGAAATTTGAATGAGCTGATCCAAAACAGACAGAATTAAAAAAAAACATTATCAGAAAATGTTAAAATATATAATAGCCATTCATTTTTACAGGGGCATTTTCATTTTTTGTCACATGGAATCATAAGTTAGGGCTAAGTGCAAGTCCATGTTTGTCTTCTATCAATGTAGAATATAAGATCTTATAAACAAGTTAGTATTTTGTGAATCTCGAACTTCTTAATTTCTTTTCTTGAAAAGGTGCAATTTTGAATTCATGTTCTAGGATTTAGTAGGCAGAAGTTTCCTCTTTATTGCACAATTTTGAACTGCTGTTAATTTTCTTTAATCTATTCAGGACCACAGCAGACAGGCTCTTAGTATCATGATATTTTAGAGTGGACAGGATTCCTGTTCATTATTTTATTCAAGTTTTATGTTTTTCTATATTTTTAAAAGCCTTGTATAGATGCAGTAAACCTTTTAGATTCTTATACATGTATTTCCTTTAACCTACCAGTAAAAATAGTGAGTGACTATGTCATCATTTTGCTATCAAATTTCAGTAGCAAATAGTATAGAGAAGTTTTAGCTACAAAAAGAAGTTCAAAAACTTTGTGGAATATTCATTCCTACTATCTTCTTATTCCCCTCTCAATGTGCTTTAGCTAAATCCTAAACCTGGTATGTCTTCTTGTGAAGGTATATGAGCCTCTGTTGGTGACTGCAAGATTGATCACAAGAGGAAATCTCTGCAATTATGAGAAAAATCCAATTATGCATGTTTGCAAACATTACCAAAACTTATGAATGCAAGTTTTTAAATACAGGTATCAAAAATAAAAAGGAAGAGAGGGTTTATATTTTTAAATGAAGTGTCTCATTACTACTTTCATATCCTTTCCCAAACAACTTGCTGAACCCCAGCATGAGAAGTACTAAGAAACACTCAGATATATATAAACAAAACTGGAGTGAGGGGAGAAGTAATCACAGTGATACAAATTAGAAATGAAGCACAGCACATTGCTGCACAGCCTCTAGTTCACTCCAATGGACAGAAGTCAAAGAAGATGGGAAGACTATATAATATGATAACATAAATCAGAAGCCCTGAGATGGAAGAACCAACTGTTAAACTTGAAAAGTGCCAAGCATTTTTACCAAGTTAAGTCATCTATTCAAACAAAATGTGTTTGAATTGGCTCAGGAAAGCAATGTCCCAGGACAAATCAATCACATAGTAATATATGAAGAATGATATTCTATGTGCCCACTTCTTTGGTAACACCAATGAAGCTGGGAAGCAATGTTGATATTGAAATTTCCTGTTGAGAAACTTTTAGAGGCAAGAAATTCCTGGCGATCCCTCCCAAATTATGGATAACTTCTCTAAAAGTCTTCCTTCTGGTCACAAAAGCTACATAGATTTGCCTGTATAGTATATACAAATTAGGTTTGTCTTTAAGAAAAGGCCTTTTCTTAATAAAATGTTTTAGCAATAAGTTCTAGGATTCTATTACAATGCCTCAATTAACTGAAATGTGCCTTAACATAGGAATCTTGCCTTATTCCCCATTGAAAGGTTTGTACACATTAGAAGATGCAGCTGGGGCTATGTAGGAAAGCAAGATAGTCACTGGTTATAGCTCACCTATGGCTTCCAAGCAATCTGAATTAAGTTTACCCCCCCTACTGTGAGGGTCTCAGAAGACCTCCACTGTCTTCTAATGAAAACACTATTGTTAATGCCAAGGATTATGCAGAGGAGGTAATATGCCCAGGTTTAAGTTCATAAAGGCATAGATTTATAACCTTAAGGGCAGGAAAAGTGCTGCTTGTCTTGCAGGGTTTGTAGCATGTTGGGATTCCATTGATGCTATATCAACACAATATAAATCAATGCTTCGAGGCTCTGAGTTCACAGTTACAATTATCAACTGAAACTTAGTTTCTGTCACATTAAACTCTTCTTTGCTTTTAATTTTAGCACATTCTCTGGCATTTTAATTACCACAGAAAAATAAAAATAATAAATAAAATAATTTTTTTGTACAAGAAAGGAAATGAGGATTCAGATAGATTCCATCTCTGGAAAACAGTCTGGCAAAGTGACACAGGTTTTTTATATATACATCTTCTGGACTAAAACACAGTATGGTAAAGATAGCCACGCCGATAGGCACTTAGTGGATTAAAATGTAGCCACAACAAACTTGCCATTGAATCTCTTCCCAGTCAATGCTCTTTGGGCAGCTTTGGAATCACCAGCGTAGGCATACTCAACAAAAACCTGGAAAGTAGCAAGTTCATATGTTTATAAACTGAACTCTGGCAACAAACCAGAGTGAGTTAAGAGCAAGAAAAATAGGAAAGGTGTACTGGAAACACAATAAAAGATGTGGCACCAAACTATTTTTTTTTTTATCTCACTCCTTCTGGAACAGATTAGCCATTTTAGTCTTCAACAACAACTTAATCAACACAAGACTAAAGGAACCATAGTCCTTTTTTCTAGTAAGATGGCATATAAATATAAATATATTTATATTTAGCATTATATTTAGTAAGATGGCATATAAATATATTTACATATAAATATGACTGCAAGTCATATTTCTTAGATGCCATGTTGATGTTCCTGATGTCTCTTTAAGATACCTTCTGTTGCTAAATTGTGTTCAGTTAACACACATTATCAAATACATTAAATATGGCAAGATTCTGCTACAAATTCATCATGCTGGTTTAACCAATTACATTGTAATTGGTAATTTTTAAAAAAAAACAAATTCATGCCTCCAGTTATGGGAGTACTATTAGTAGGTATAGGAATACAGAAATAATAGATACAGAAATTTTCCTTTGTCATATCTCCATGTTCTATGAACAAATTATCCCTTTTATATCTCATAAAAACCCCTTTTTCTCATCTTTGTATAATTAAAATCTATTCTTTACTTGGTAGAAAAAGAATGTAGGTAGCAGCAGAGAGCAACTTTCTAAATAGTGAACTTGTAATATTCTAGAAATCTGGAATTCCTGTATAAAGTAAAATAGTGTTTGCTGAGATGTTCAAAACCCTGAGATTTAAAATCAATCTACTTACTGTATTCAGAAGAATGAACATGCCAAGGTTAACAAACATTGCTGCAGATTTTGAAGCCATCATCCTTAAAACCTACTGAAGCAAACAATTATGGTTACTTACATTTTTGTTCTTTTTTTCTGGTTTTCCCCTATCACAAAAAAATATTGACAAAAGAGAGGTAAACTGTGTGCTGATAAATAAATGATCACAGCATCACTTGGATACCTGACCAAAAATAATAATAACAAAATATATAACTTTATCCACTATCCAGGTACTCACATGTCCTTTTCCTAGACTTTCCTTTGGAACAAATAAGGAAACTATTTGTCCATATTTGGAACATTCTTCCCTTATGTCATCCACTACATCTGCAAAAAAAAAAAAAAAGACAACCAAAATTGAAACTCAAAGAGTCTGGGTATTTTAACTAGATACTATACTAAATACTCTACAATATTGTTGCAAATCACCACAGGAAGGGCAAAACTAAATCAATACATTAAATGATTATATTTTATATAGTAATATACAAAGCATATCACTTGACATATGAATCAATACTAGGCTTCGTGACCATTTTTTCTACTGTTAACCAGGATATAGTAAAAGTGATGCTGAGAATATGCTGAGAGGCTTTCCTTGGCATTTGTCACTTTCCTTATGTCCTGCTACATTCATTTTCTCAGAATGGAAAAGAAAGATTTATAGAAGTGAAGGAAAGTTTTGAATACCTTTTTTGATTCAAGTCTCTCCAGTAAATAATGTGTCATGATTCCAATAAATGAAGCCAGTAAAAGCAGAACTCCAAGGCTAGAGGTTTCCTTAAAGAACAAGTTTAATGGCTACAGAATATCGACAGTCAAAAGTGAAACCAAGTCTGGAGTTCCCTCCAAAGTGTTACAATGTTACAAAGTTGAACTTCCCACCCAAGCACTATCTTCCCCAACAGAATTCTTTGGCGGGCTTTCTAGCGGAAGGCTCAGCCTACCAAATTCCCAGGCAGCGATGACCTTGGTTCCCACAGGACAAGATATTGTTTAGGCTAACATTAAAATCACCTATGCCCCCTCCCAGTCCTGTGGCAACCGAAAACAAAACAAAATGGCTTCAGCCAGCATCGCTGCAGTGTTGATATAATGGACATCTATGGAAGAGCCATATGTCAGGCTTGCATATTGTATTCATATTTTGCTTAGAATGCAAAAATATATCAATTATGGCAAGACCCAAACTGATAGCTTATGTACTTGGAGAACTGCACATACAAGTGTATCTGAGTCCCTGCAGAGTCAGAAATTCTACGAATAGTTTCTAAAAGATTCCTCTCCTCTGTCAAAATGACTAAAAGTAGCACTGCACAAGCTCTACCCCTTTTATACAAGTGTGCAACCTGGGTATGGTGCTACTCTCATTGTTCTGCCCACTCTGTGATGGCATACCACTTTCCTAAAAAGGCCTGAAAAAATGGAAAAGTTCTAATCAAAAGCAACTTTAATACTCAGATTTTATAAACCTGGTATATAGAGGATAAAAAGTCATTCCTTCCCCCTCCCAGCAACCACCTATATCTTGGAGGCCATAGGATGTTTCAGTTTTTCTTTTCTCCTCTAAACATTGACAATTAATGTGATTTGATGTCAAATAACTGTTTCTCAAGAAACCCCTGAAACTGATGGCACCTTCATACAAGACCTCTGCATCCCTTTAAAATCAGCTATAGTCCTGTACAACATTGGCTGGTTCTGAAAAGTAAAGGTAGCTAAAAGAAGTAAAGATCAATCCTTGTTGACCATGATCACTGTTGTCTTGGCAACAACATGGAGATTTACTGCCTTCTTTTAGAATGTTTTTAATATCACAGTCTAGCCTTCAGATATTTCCTGATCATCTCCCATCCAAACACTAACCTAATCTGACACAGTTTAATTTTTTACAGCTAAGTGCTTTTTTCCCTTAGCACTGATGTGCTTTATTTGAGCTAAGTCATGTTTATTTTGCTTGCTATGGTTTTGCTGAATATATAGGTAGCCTGCTTTCCCACTGGCTGGAATTTTTGTCATTAATGGGACTTAAGGCAATTAAGTACACGTTTACAGGGCAAGTCAGTTCATTACTCTTGAATTTGTAACTGTGTTCCTTAAAGTAATCCCATTCTATCTACAGTGACTCCTGAACTTGGAACTGCCCCAAAGAGTCATTTTTTGTGATAGCATTTGTGCATATCTTTTTTGTCACTCAATTCATGGCTGTTTGCTTTTAAAATGCTAATTCCAAAACATATAGCTAGTTTATTAAAAGCCTATGTATATGTCTCCTAGTTATAGTTCTAACTCTACAAGTAACCATCTGATAGACTGTCATGGCTGCCATTCTGCTAGCCAAGCATCACAAGCTGACAGCCTGACATTAGCAATGGGAGGAGGGAAGAGAAGATTGGGATGCAGAGAGGAATTAGGGGGGGGGAATGGAAACCAAACCGTGCTGGCCCAAGGCATGAGAAACATCAGCCAGCCCAAGGTTACTCGTCAGAATGCAGAGCTGGAAAGGAACTGAAGGTCCATTACCCAAACAATATACAAGTATCCAACTGGACATGAACTGATATCAAGGGGATGGCCAGGGAAAAGGGAAAGCTAACTGTATAGTTTTGTGTGCCAAAATGCCAGATCCAGCTTCCCTACTTCTGTAATCATGTAAGCCTTAGTATACTCTTGGTAAAACAAAGGGGTAGGAAATGACTGAGTGGTACAGTTGACATAAACATTCTATATATCCAATTATAAGAAATAAGGCTGCTAGTTCATACAGTATGTGATAGGTAAGAAAGAGCTGAGTGGAGTGGTTAAAACAATATAACAATCAATAAAGGTTCCACTCCACTTTGCCCCCTGCCAATGTTTTAAATGCTGGCGCAACTAAAATATGACATTATAGATATTTGTTGATCTGCATCAGGCAGCAAGATCCTTTGGGCAAATTGTGCTTACATTGACACATTTTTGTACTGTCTGAACTTTGGATAGAGAGATGAATCCAAACTTGTTGCTCATTAGTGGACCTCTCAAGCTACAACTAGAAAAACTCGTAATACAAACTATAGTTTGTAGTATTATATAAGCTATATTTCCCTCAGCTAACATAAAGAACCACTATCAGTATGATAATTTTTGGATCCTTGGATCATAGCTAACTGAAAAGGGTTACCAAATAACCAGAAAGTTTGACAATTACCGCATAGAGAACAGTTACAATATTTAGGACTATTTAGTTTAGGAAAAAATATGAATAAGAGTGCAACAGAGGGGTACAGAATTGTGAACGGTATGAAAAAGTTAATGAAATGGCTATTTTACAAAATTCATTTCGTGATCAACAGAGTGCCCCTCCTTCACGGTCACCTCTTTGGGGCAACTTCAGACCCATTTATGGTCCCCCTGGCAGGGCAAAACTGGCCATGGGGAACAGAGCTCCTCTATCCTGCAGCCGTGTGCTATGGCGCAAAACCGGAAGTCCATACTTATTCGTTCTTGTTCACTGCCATTTTAAGTTACTTGTATGCTTTAACTCTCTGATATTTTGAACAGACTGTGGTTAGCATGTTTCCTTCTATTCTACACAATATAAGTAGCTACAGTGAAAAAATACATAATTTTTTTTAGAAACAAATGAGAAAACCAAAACTCACTAACATTTTTTTCCCCAATTTTTTAAATCCTTCAGGAGAAGACAAAATCAAAAAGACTTTGGAAATAGTTAATCTTGTCCCTTGTTGTTATTGTTAGTTGCGAAGTCCTATCTGACCCATCGCGACCCCATGGACAACGTTCCTCCAGGCCTTCCTGTCATCTACCATCTTCTGGATTCCATTTAAACTCACACCTACTGCTTCAGTGACTCCATCCAGCACCTCATTCTCTGTTGTCCCTTTCTTCTATTGCCCTCAATCTTTCCCAGCATTAGGTTCTTCTCCAGTGGGTCCTTCCTTCTCATTAGGTGGCCAAAGTACTTGAGTTTCAACTTCAGGATCTGGCCTTCTAAAGAGCAGTCAGGGTTGATCTCCTCTAGGACTGACCGGTTTGATCGCTTTGCAGTCCAGGGGACTCGCAGGAGTCTTCTCCAGCACCATAGTTCAAAGGTCTCAATTCTTTGGCGCTCAGCCTTTCTTATGGTCCAACTTTCACAGCCATACATTGCAACTGGGAAAACCATGGCCTTGACTATATGTACTTTTGTTGGCAGGGTGATTTTTCTGCTTTTTAGTATGCTGTCTAGATTTGCCATAGCTTTCCTCCCCAGGAGCAAACGTCTTTTAATTTCTTGGCTGCAGTCTCCATCTGTGGTGATCTTGGAGCCCAGGAAGATAAAATCTGTCAGTACCTCCATTTCTTCCCCATCTATTTGCCAGGAATTGAGAGGGCCAGATGCCATGATCTTGGTTTTCTTAATGTTGAGTTTCAAGCCAACTTTTGAACTCTCCACTCGCATCAAGAGGCTCTTTATTTCCTCTTCACTTTCTGCCATTAGAAATGGTATCATCTGCATATCTTAGGTTGTTGATATTTCTCCCGGCAATCTTAATTCCAACTTTTGATTAATCTAGCCCTGCATATAAGTTAAATAGGCAGGGTGACAGAATACAGCCTTGCTGGACTCCTTTCCCAATTTTGAACCAATCAGTGGTTCCGTTTCCAGTTCTCACTGTTGCTTCTTGACCCTCATATAGGTTTCTCAAGAGACAAATAAGATGGTCTGGTACTTCCATCTCTTTAAGAACTTGCCACAAATTGTTGTGATCCACACAATCAAAGGCTTTAGTATAGTCAATGAAGCAAAAGTACATGTTTTTCTGGAACTCCCTAGCTTTCTCCATGATCCAGCGTATGTTGGCAATTTGATCTCTAGTTCCTCTGCTTCTTCAAAATCCTGCCAGTACTTCTGGAAGTTCTTGATCCACATACTGCTGGAGTCTAGCTTGTAGGATTTTAAGCATAACTTTACTTGCATGTGAATTGAGTGCAATGGTGCGATAGTTTGAACATTCTTTGGCATTGCCTTTCTTTGGAATTGGAATGTAAACTGACCTTTTCCAATCCTGTGGCCACTGTTGAGTTTTCCAAATTTGCTGGCAAATTGAGTGTAGCACTTTTACTGCATCATCTTTTAAGCCAGTGGTAGTCAACCTGGTCCCTACCGCCCACTAGTGGGCGTTCCAGCTTTTATGGTGGGGGGTAGAAGTTTTGTCCGATACTGAAGCACTTTCCTTTTTTTTAATTTAATTGACTTTTTAAAAATTTTTCATAGCATTATTTAAAAACATTTTCATTAGGTTTTCATAAAATTCCCCGTGACAATTTAAATTTCTGAAAAT